ATGAATGATCTTACCTTTAATTTTGATAATTGGTCAATTCACTATATAAAACAATATAATAAGTAATAAGATAACATAAAATTGGTTTTGTTGAACAAAAATTTGTAACTAATTTTTTACATTTGTAAGATRAAGTCATTGCTAAGGATTTGGTGTCATCTTAACAATAGTTATTAATTTTGGACGTTATAGTAAATAAAAAAATRTATTAATAGATACCTCATCTTCAAAGCTAAATCCATCAAAACTTTTTTCATTCCAATATTCATCATCCGTACAGTTCATTGTAGCAGCGAATCTCAAAACTAAGAGATAATATCCACACAATATAAAAATAAATTGTAAGACACAATGTATATGAACCCGCTTATGAAATATATAAGTAGAAGAAATCTCCCTAACTTAAAAACAAATCAAAACCATTGATTTTGGTTAAGCCTACAATGCTTCCAATTAACAATAGATATCTGTTAATCAATAATAACAATGAAGTAAAAAAATTCTACAGATGGCCACAGTTCATCTCAACTTTAAATGAAAAATAAATAAGAAGCTTCAATACGGAAAACGACAGTAATAGTAACAATACTGAGATACTAAAATAAAAATATAAGTATTATAATTATAAGGAAGAATTAATTATGTTAAAATGAGAACAGAATGACCATAAATGATAAATTGGGAGTGTTTTTTTTCTTTTGTAGACGCATCAAAGTCAAGAGAATAATCTCAAAAAATAATCCTCATTTTAGTCACTATTTTTTTATAAGTAGAAAACACTTGTAGTACTGTATTTTGGGATACAGAACCACAACAGAATAGTGAAAAAGAACAGWACAACACTACATTACTATAGTTAAGTACAATATAGTCACTACAATTTTACAATTTATTGCTACTGCCTCAGTGCCAACACAATACACATTACAACCGTGAATTTTGYTACGGTCTAGACACCCTCGACGATAACGGGGGCGTTCGGTTTGTTTTTGGCGAAACGTTTGATAAGAAACAAGTGCCGCCGGCAACGGTAACGGCGCTCAGAATATGGCCTTATATTTTTATGCCGAACGCAGC